TCTAGAGAAAGGTCTCGAAACCTTTCTGGAGTTATGTCGAAAATTCATGACCTGCTCGTTACTACTTGAGAGTGTTTTCTCATCCAAAGCAGTACGTATCGCTTCAGGGAGAGAATCAAATTCTTTTGATGCAATAATGATACTCAGTCTGGAGTTTGCTAACCCATCTGCAAATCGTTTTATAGCTACCTTTTCATTTATCGATCTTAACACATTGTATTTGGAGCTATCTCCGTCTGCCTGTGCTAAAGTTAAATTGGAGAAAAGATCTTCTAATTCGTTACCAAACGCCTCTATTGACCTATGTCCCTGTTTCACATTCTGTAAACGTGATTGAAGAGCTACTGCAGATTTTTTTTGTAGTAGATATTTTCTCATGTCACTAAGCAACGCGTCTACAGTAGTATATGTATCGCGTAAGCGAAGCTTTGCACTGGACGACAATCTTGTTTTTAGGACGAAATCAATTAACGAAATTTTTGATCCGTCATTAAGCTTAGAATTATACATATCTATACCGTCAATTAGTTGTTTGGTGACATGTTCCTGACCAGTCATTATCGGGAGTAAACTAATAGCGGTCTTAAAGTCGAAAGAAATTGTTTCTGCCATTTTCTCTGTGTAAGAACTATCGAAATTTCTACTAGAAAAAATTACTAATTTATTTATTTCACTAAAAATTATATGTATATTATTCACTATCGAATTTACTTTTATAAGACCTTCGGTACTTATCTCAGAATTGTCAATATTAGACTTAATATCAGACAAAATATACTCGAGCTGTAAATAAATTACATTAGCTTCTTTTAACTTCGTTTGACCGATTTCTTTCTTTCTTCGTTCAGGGCCTATTTTAGTTAAATATAATTTTATTTCTTGTAACTTACTATATAATTCGATTAGCTTATGAGACATTACTATTTATCATAATAAATAAAATCCACTTAATTTTTTCTACCTAATTAAAAAAAACATAATTATAAAAATATGTATAAAAACACCTACTTGTATTTGCTCAATTTACGTGAAACGTGTGGTACAGTAGGGCGGTCGCGACGGCTACATCAGCGCGATCGGCGGACAGGATGCGTCGCGGTCACGTTTCCATCGATTGCTGGCACGTGGCTGTTTCCGGAGCTGTTGCGCTGAGGCTCTGCAGTCTTCCTGAAGTTTGATGCGTGCCGGGATAACCCTGGACACCTCGAGCTGGGCCGGGATAACCCTGGACTCCTCTTGATGTGGGCCGGGATAACCCTGGACACCTCTTGATGTGGGCCGGGATAACCCTGGACACCTCTTCTTGTCTTCTTAATTAGCTTGCGAAGGTTTCGGTTGCATTTCTAGAGTGTTGTGGTGAAGTTCCCTTCTCAAAGCTCTTACAGCATTCTGTCTGCACTTCTTGTATATGAAGTAAGCGGTGGCAGCGAATAATATGACAAATAACGAGATGAGTAATATTTCGGTTAGGTTGAGTTTGTTTTCGGCTACTTGAGCGTTTCCACCTGCATTCTGGGCGATGATAATTTCTTCTTTCGATTGAGAGCTGCGACACATTGTTCTAGGTTGATGTTTTATTCTAATAATGAAGGTTGGAAAGATGAACCACATATAGGAGCACTGCCAAAAATATGATAATAACTGCTGCGACTGCTATCAGGATATTCTTCATTTTTTTTTTTTTTTTTTTTTTTTAGATTTTCGATAATTTGTCTTCGAGTTCTTCTAGATAGTTTTCTAATGAAAATCTTCTATCTTCAAATTTTTCTTCTTACTAAGTTCCAGTTGTTTGCAGGGTCGCCATGAGGTATCTTGCTTGCTAATTATAGGTGAAATCCAAACACATTGTTAGGTTGACGTTGGTTTATTAAAAGAGAGCCAATTACAAATCAATTTCCATATTTATATAGTCATCAACATTATACTAATACACGCACACATATACTTAACACAATTACACCTAAATTATAATTATTAAATGTCAGCATTTGATGTGACCCACTTTTAGTTTCACTGTGTAAAATAAAAAGTTTAATTTGTTATTTAATTATTTTCATACTATTACACAATTGCTTGTTTATTTTTAAATAATTATTAATATCGTAAAAATTCAGAGAACGCCTCGCTAGTATCCAGTTCTTATTAATTTTATTATTTAAGTAATTATTAAGTAAAATTAGTCATGTTTAGCAGTCTTATATATTACTACAAAACTCTCAGTCATTACGTAATTATTAGAAATAAACTTACATTAATTGTAATTCAGCGCAATTTTGTGCTGTTACTAAAAGTGAAATAGGGAAAGGGACTCAATGCCTAAATACAGATTATTAATATAATCTATTAAGGTCAGATGTGACTTTTATTTAACAGCTAGTAACTTACAGTCATAATTCTTCTACACCTACACATTTCTAGACGGCGAAGCCCTTTAGTATCAAGAAATTATCTATCATTCATTCATTCATATTAAAATTCTTTACGAAAGGTGAATTTCGTTAAACTTCGCTTGATTCAAGAAGAGAATTCGTATTTAAGTATTCGATTTACGTTTTGAGGGAGAAGATTATTAAATGTGTATTATTTAGGGTTGTTCAATTAAACTTTTACATTAAACAATATTTTGAGGCGAAACTTTATCGATTTAAAACAGGTTATCCTTAATACAATCCGCTTTTGTTTCTTTGGCTTTATTATAAGTATGTATATATCTTATATACAATGTTAAAGAACAGGGGAGCCTTTCATGACTTTTGTTCATCAAAACATTAAGGCGACGGTATACGGTATGGGCTTGAGCGTATATATTGAGCGTACATAAACTACCTGTAAAAGTGTTGGATAAGGAAATGTTTTATGAAGTAGTATATTTCTAACAACAATACTCTGAGAAAGCTTTGATTATTTTATATAGATTATATATCGGAATATATATAACTCAAAGTTGACTGACTGACTGACACAGCCCAAACCACTGGTTAGATCGGGCTGAAATTTGGCATGCATATAACGTAGGCATCCACTAAGAAAGGATATTGATCAATTCTACCCCCAAGGGGATTATAATTATTTTATTTTATTTGAATATATGTTTCGCAAATTCCACATTTTAACTAATCTTTTTCGACCGTAACTTTTAAAACATCTAAAAATTACGGTCTTTGAAACGTTTTTTAAAACGATTTTAAATCATATGCTGTTGGTAATTATAAATAAAATTTTACGATAAATTATTATCACTAACTGTTGTATTATAGACCTGCTGTTTTTGGTGTTTGCATTTCTGACGATTGAAGTACCTATAAACAACAGCCCTAATTGTTTACTCTATTATGCTCGCTCAGAGCTCGAGTCGGCGTACTATTATTTTTTTTACTATGCCTCAACCTGCGCCTTAAATAATTTTAATAATTTACGTCAAAGGTAAAAGTTCACATAACAAAAGGAAGAGTTGGAATTGAATTGTACATTCTGAATTCAATTTCTGTGCCGTTCTGGATTCGAACCCAACGGAAAGTTTTGTTATGAGTTGTTGACTTTGTTACTCGGGTGACCCTTTTAATTCAGACGTGACATTCAGTTCGAAGGAATAATAAAAACGGTAGAATGATATTATGCAAATTTTAATATGCCTTTTGTCAGTTGTAAAAATAGCAGAAATTCTTGGAATTTTTCGCAAGTATATTAAAAAGTTTCTCTAACAGATTTACTGCTAGGCAAAAAAACAACTTTTGATGAGTTTTTTCGCTAGATTTTAAGGTGACGTAAAAGGAAGATGATTCCCGATTTTGATTATTCTTTTCTTTAAAAATGGAGTCAGCTGAACGGTACACCTTTGTAGAAGATAGGTTTATTAGTTAGGCAACTCCAATTCTATCATAACATTAATAGTGTACCCTTAACACATAACAAGTTATTGAATATTAAAATTGAATACTCGAACCAACTAAAAAAATTATAAAGTGTTTTTTACATATTAAAAATAATAACGCAACTAATGATGACAATGCAATGCAATGCAAATTACAACAAATACGAAATATAAAAGGAAAAATAAATGAGCTCAACGGCGCAGTGGTGAAAGTGCTTGGTCTTTACGTTTGTTAAGCAAATTTCACAATGGCTGGTCATAAGATGGGTGACCCAAAATTTATTATCTCGAGTTCCTCCATGTTTCGGCAGGCGCGTTAGCTGTTGGCCTCGGCTACATCTGCAGTAGTTAATACACGCTATCTTGTTAATACACACTTAGCTCATTCTCCGTATTCGATTTTATTCAGAAAGGCCTGAGCCCCAATAGTGGGGACGTCAATAGGCTGATAATGATTTTTTTTTTAATAATTCCTAACAGTCCTGTTACAATACTTTCTCACAAAATTGGCACTCTATAATATTCGTAAAAACATAGTTTAAAAAAAAGGAGTTTTTATTTATGTTTTCTCTCAAAGTTCACCATAAAACACATACCAGAGGCCTTGTGTTCGAGCTTGGAATCGATTTTTTCTTAATGAATACTGAAACATTTAAATACCAATAATAGTCGACCCTGCCACATCAAAATGTAATGTGGAATCCGAACATTCGTTCGGCGGAAGAACGCTTTATTTGTTTGGCGCTGATTCAAAATTAATTTGGGAGTTGAATCGATGATGCTAAAAAGGATACTGTCATTTAATTCTTGTTAACCTTTTTGTAATGAACTATTGCAATCGTCATTATGGAGTAACTGATTTATTGCGGGTAGATGTTGTTCACTGATATATCATTCTACCCTAATTTGAATCATTTTGCATTCAATGCGGGACTCAGCATCCGTAGGGACCAGCCCAAAGACTACTCAAAGCACGGGTGTTATACCCACATAGCCCCTCGCTTTGGGGAGAAGGCCTAGGATACAGAAACGACGACTTTACACCCAGCCCTCGATGATTTAAATATATGGCATTGGGAACATTATTGGACAGATGATGTTGAAGAACTTTTCCAGGTGTATAACTTACCTGAAAGTTAATGTAACTTGACCATAGAGTTTCTTATTGGGCTCCCAATGGTCTGGTTCTATGTGTAGTACACCCTGTATTTTATCGATGGTTCCATTTTCTACAATTAAGTCTCTTGATGCTAGGTATAGAGTTAACTTGTTGCTCGGAGACGATTTCTTGAATACTCTGTAACAAAAGTTCTGATTAGCTAATACGACTTTCCAAAAATACGAGTAGTATAACACATGTTTTCGCTGACCTGGAACCAGGCAAAGCTTTAACTAGGATACTTCCGGTCTTTATTTTAATTCTGAATAATCAAATTGTTATTTTATATCTGTGATGTGTGTTTTGTATTCAAAGAGCTACTGAGGAGTGGAGTTGGCACTTCGTATTTTCAAAATAAAAATACTATCTACGAGAACACTCACTCAATCCCGCTACGCACACTTTACTCACTAATCTCTATTCGTTTAGTTTAAACACAGCTTTAATATATATTATACTAGCTGTGTCCGCGACTTCGTTCGAATGGAAAATAGCCTAGGTTACTCCTTATTAGGTCAGCTATCTGTCAGTGAAAGTCCCGTCGAAATTGGTTCAGCCGTTTCAGAGATTAGCCGAGACATACAGACAGACAAAAAAATAATATTTTGGTATATGTAACGTGTTTAAAATGCATTAAGTTATAAGCGGTTATTTTATTATTACAAACAGACACTCCAATTTTATTTAATAGTATAGATTTACTGACTGTTTCCATTATTTCGTAAATGCAACTCGTGCTCCAGATATCACCATCACCAGCTTATTTATGTCACCATTTCTGTGTCTCAGCCCGTCTCTTTGGATAGAATCGATAGAACTACTTTCTATTAGTCCACGAACGAAAATTCGGAAAATTTAGATGAATTCTTATAATATTATTAAAAATGTCTTTAAATTCAAATAAAGGTTATCTGTGTATCAGATACATTATCGAGACCTTCCTCCATTGCATCATTAATTAGCGAAAATTGAATGTCTTCCACTATTAGTGTTTCGAAATAGACGAAATTTCGTGTTCGGAGATGGCCTTTCGTTATTTTACTAATTACGTCCATGGCCGTCCGTGCAAGCCTGGCATAATGACAAACGTTTCATTATCATGAATGATGGAGATCAAAATCAGATGCGTGCCAGCCACTTAGGGTCGTCAAAATAAAATTCCAACTCTATGCGTTTAAACTTACCGTTGCGAATTCAGAGGATTGTCTGTAGTCATCTCGACCCCGTTGACCCCTGCGAACAAGACAATTATTTTAATGCTTGTTAACATCACAGTAGCAATTGATGACTCATGTTTAAACACGGCAGTATTATATCAATTCACACAAAGGTCATAAACGTGAAATTCTTCTAAGTATACGTAATTTACACTCATTTTAAAGCTTTGTTTGTTTATTTAAACCAATAGATAAAAGTTTGAAAATTACCGATAATACTCTAAATCAATACTAATATTATGGAGAGGAAAGATTTGATTTGCATTAAATAGGCTCAGAATATACCAATTTTAAAAAAATCTGTTACAGTATACTACGTTACACGTAGGAGACGTAGGCTATAAATTTGTATAACTATGAAATAATTGACTTTTTAGTTCTAGATATCCACATCATGAAATATAATATTTAAAAAAAATTATCGTTCCTAACATAAAAACCCGATGTGTTAGAATCGATAATTTCAAGATGTGACGACATATATGTCAAGGATTCGAAAAAGAAAATGGAATAGAATAGAAAAAATTTATTTTGATAACTCACATCATCGTCAGTCCTTTTACGACCCTACTGTAGGGGCTCAGGCCTTCCTTGTGGATAGTTAAAGAAGATGGGAGCACGCTAACCAAAGGCGGATTGGAGGGTATTAACGATTCCAATGTAGCCTGGATCAACGGCTTAACGTGCCTTCCGAAGCACGGAGTAGCTCAAAATAAGAATTTTTCGGTCGCCCATTGCGTGACTGACCCTTAACGATATTTCTTAAAGCTTGTTGTAATGAAATCCTGTATTATATTGCATAGAATTTGATTTTATTAAAAGCAGAAATCATGGCTATATTATATTTGTGACTGTATTAAAAATAATATTGAAAATATTGCCGTATTGTCTCGATTACCTATTTGCTTCCTGTTACGTAATAAAATCCGGTAAACCCGTTACATTTTGCCAACTCCATAAAAACAGGGGTTTATTTTCCAATTTGCATGCCAGGAAAAATATATTTAGCAGTCGGCGCCAAATTATGTTGCGTTAGCGAATCGACTTGTTTAATCCTTCTCGAAACAATAAAACAATGAGGTCAAATGCGAGACTGGTATATCAAAGAGGGTTTTCTACATACAGAAAATATACACATTAATATTATAGAGAAAAAATATTTGTCTGCTTGTTTGTATCGTATTCGATATTTTGTATCATCCCGAAACTACTGCACGGATTTTAAAAGAATTTTCATCTACGGGAAGCTACGTAACGTAACGCTATTTATGTGGGCGAAGTCGCAGAAAAACATCTGGTTACTAATATACAGGAAAAAATTGTAGATTGTGCACAAAATTACATGTACGTTACAGTCGTTACACTTTATTTTTCTCTATTTTTTAACCTGCTGACGTCGGAGATAAAAAAATAAAAAAGATGTCTTTGACTTCCCTACATAAAATATACTCGTACCTTTTTTAAACGAAGGGAACTGACCTTAAACATTTCATCGACTGGAAGGAAACCGACAAAAAAATTACTGACACTAGTAGAAATTTTTGTCCTATATAGGTATTTGAATTTCTGTTTGATAATTAGGTACCTATTTATTAGCAAATTGGCATTGTCAGGTTACTCACTTTGGGAGTATTTTTATATAAGACTAATTTTCCGTCAGCGACTTCGTCCGCGTGGTCCCTGTCTGCGCCGTTTATTATATTTAATATATATATATTATTACTATTACCTTGCACGCATCACAACATACAATATAAAAACTATACAAATGACTCAAACGGTAGATAATAAAACCTCTTTTAAAATGACTCTCTCTCTGTCATGGTGTCAACGAAATAATACGTGAAAATACGCTCCTCTCGAAAAATAAACCGCTGTGTTAATATCTCACCAAAAATAAACTGTGCTCAAAATAGTGTTGACTGTGTGAACTATTTTTTTTTATATAATAATAAGAATTCAAGAAAAAGGAGTATGACCGAAACCTATGGAAAATAACTATGTAAGTCCACTAATTTTCAAAATTTCAATCATTGAAAATCCTCCAGTCCCTATGGAACTGTATATTTGAATATTGATTCAAATCATGACAACGATATAATTACAATGAGAAATTGAATAGTAAATAATGGTTGATATGATAACTTTCTCATTCCCTATACAAATTTCCACTTCCATTTTCATCCCTTTATTTGCTGTTCGGGATAAAATATATACATAGGCTTATGTTAGCTTTCTTTTAAAAATCAGTCCAGTTATTTCGAAGCCTATTCGATGCAAACAAACAAACAATTAAAATCTTTCGTCATTATAATATTTATATAGATATAGACAAAAATCAAAAGTATTGCGAGTGCAAATTTGATCAAAATATAACACGTTGTAATTTCAATTGATTTTGAAATACTTTTCAATACATGTATTTTATATATTTTTAGTAATTTGCCATAATATTGATAGAAATACGCTCTCTAGCAGTTAAAGTCACGATCACTTGAGATTTTCGACAGCCTCCCTTGCCGAGGTCTCGGGTAGCTCGTTAGGGAATATGTGTGATTTTTTTATAACAACAACACATGCTGTTAAGTTTAAGTAACAAAATTCGAAAGAGATAAGATAATTGAAATATCTTGTTATGATATAAATGTTTGTCATTATTAAAAGATATAGAAATATAAGCTGTGACGTCAAAGTTTATTAAACCGTAAAATCACGGATATAACAAGTACAGCAAGGGGTCACTGCTCCAAGTCTACCTAAAAAACTAAATTGCTGAATTAATAAAAAAAGTAATAAAAATTCTATTTTTGTAATCGATTTACAAATATTTTCAACAGTACTATTCTTTTATTAGGCCTTGAACTCGACGTATAGCAGTGTTATAGCATAGAGATCAAATGAAATGAAACCTACTTCAAAAGTAAAGGTTTGTAACCGGTTAAGTGATAACCGGGTGACTGGTCGCCATTAGGCTAGTCACCCGGTTACTGAAGATTACCGGTACATAATGACAACTTGTGTTATAGAACAATATTTTTTAATAAACCTTTTCTTTCCTTATTACGCCATAGTACTGGCGAGCCCTGTTCACTGTAGACTGATGTACGAGGAGGGTCAAGTCGGGTAATTGCCCGGAGCAGGAAAAAACTAAGGACAGTAAAAGTGAGAGGAACAGTCATTTATGAACGGTATTCCTAATTTTCTCTGTGTACAAGTAAATTCATTACCCGACTGCCCAAAAAAGAGTGTATTGTTTAGGGTTAATTAATGTATGTATATATGTGAATTTCTTTATTCCATCATAACTTTTGAAAGACATAACAGATATGAATGTATTATCGGAAAAATTACATCATCCCGAGTAACACTGGCTATGTATAATTTTTAATATACAATATGGTGGATGTATGATGTCGTTTAAAAAAATATGAAATTATAAAATTTATTCAAAGGGTTTGTGTCCTACGAGTGAAAATAAAGGTTTTTATTTATATGCTCGGAAAGCATGAACCATTTTAACTTATAATATTTAACTAAATAAATTTATAACGCTAGAAAATATACTTAAATAAATATGGCATTAAATTAATTACATTAAACGTTACAACTTTAATTATAACAGCTATAAACAGAAAAGCACAAATAACAAAGATATTACAAAGATTGACCACAAGCCCATATGTTTTTCGCTACCGTAGCACTGTGTGACGTCACTCAATGCCTTGAATTTGTAGGGAGCGTTTTCGGCCGACTAGCAGCGGTTCCACAAAAAAGCACCATATCTCCGAAACTATTAACGGTAGACAGGCTGTTATTTCTACATTATTATTATTTTAAATATTAATGTACTTTTTATTTATAAAATAAAAAAGTTGTCATCTAGCCTAATAGGCTATTCATAAAAATATATATAAATCAAATTAATATTCTTGATAAGTACATTCCAAAATACTTTGTATACATTTACTGAGGACTAAAAGGAATGAAATAAATAATTAAAAAATTAAAAAACACGTCTGCCAAATTAGAATAAAACATTTTATTTGTTCAATTTTGGCACATGTTTCAAACGTAGATGCCACAAAGACTTATGTGATAATAGCTCATTAATTAATAGGAGTGTGAATATTATTTATGCTTTAGGCTATAGCCAGCTATAAAAATCCGGTGAAAACAATCTAAACGAGAAAATTAAATTATATTGCGAAAACAAGACGCCATCGTCGAATAGAATCAGAGAAAAATTAAGTTAAGCTTTTAAGTGCCTTTGAACACTTTTGTTATATTTAAAGATGATTCTAACGAAGCTTGAGTAAATTTTTCTTTGCTTAAATTTAATTGTCCATTATGTTTTTTCTGTTAGCCATTTTTTTGTTATGAAATTTAACTGAACTTTTGATTCGCCATTCAGAGGGATTATAGTGAGTGAGTACTTCTATATATAGTTTTTATTGATTAATTAGAAAATAGTACACAAGGAAGGCTTAATGCTAATAACATTCCTCATGCTCACTAAGGCGCTTACCTACCTAGTAAGGTACCTAGTACATGGTGCCCAGTAGTACCTAATTACATGGTAGAGAGAGAGTAACCGCGGCCGGCAATCGTTATTGTAAAGCAACTTTCGCAAAGGCCGGTTACGGGATTATTATCTCGAGCTACCTCGTACCCCGTTGATCACGGCTGTATTTGCAGTCATCAATACCGTGCAATCCGCATTGGGCCAGCGGTCATGGCTCATATATCGACTTTCAATTGTTTTTGTTATTCAACTTACAATTAGACAAGGAAGATGGATACTATGAAAATTCAAGTGATTTTTAATACGAGTTTTGATGCGGAAGTAACGCGGCAGAAACAGTCCGCAATATTAATGTTGCGTTGGGAGAGGGGTTTGTTAATGAACGCACCGTGTGATTTTGGTTCAAACGCTTTCGTAATGGAAACTTCGACTTGAAGAACGAGCCACGAGGAAGACCGCCCACAAAGGTAACGTTAACTGTTTGGTGATCTCAG